AGCCGGGCTCTGCACGGAGGTCAGCTGATGGCAGCGGTGTTGATGAGCCCTCCCCAGCCTTGTCCTGAGCCCGTCCTGAGCCTTTCCCAAGCATCAGCACTTTTCTTTGTTGGGTGTTATAAGGGCGCCTGTGTGCGCTGACGGCGCTGACATTTAAAAGCAAGATTTGAGAGTCCAGTAAGACGTGTGAGGTCACTGCCTGGATCCCCTTTTCATGGGCAGTTGGTTAACTTAGTGCTCCTGTTGTTTTCTTCTCACTTCTCTCTATTTTTCAGATATAATTGAAAATTCCTGATCGTGGTGCTGTTTGCTTCTCCTGCCAGCACGCTGGTGGTGTGTAACTCAGTTAGTGCTGCTCTGCCTGGGTCCCTCAGTATTTTAATGTGAGTTTTGGAGCGTAATGGTGCTGTGGCTGTGGTTGAACGCGTCAGTCCCCAGCTGTGTCACCATAACCTATGGAAGCACTATCTGGACAGCAAGTGAAGGAGCGTTGAATATCGTCTTTATGGGAATTACCAGTGGTTTCCTTTAAGTAGCTTGTGATTAATCTGATTTAAAGCGAGGAAATCTGCAAGATGCCCCTGTCTGCGGCCATTGCATGAGAGCAGCGCGTGTGACAGCCAGATACTCGATCCTGGCATCTGAGATAACGCCTGTGCCAGCTCACCCGGGACCAACAAAATCTGAGCGTCAGCGAGCAGATGGCTAAAAACGAAGCGTGGAAAGGACTAAAATTCCCTTCATCCCGGCCGTCACCTGTCCCTGTGGCCAAACACGCAGCTGGCCTCGCAGCTGAGTATGCGCGGTGCCGTGCCGGGAGGTGGTCGGGGTGTGCCGGGGCGCGGCGGTGCCCGGGCTGGGTGCTGCTTCCATCACCTCCCTTTTGCCACGGAAGGGATGAGGGGTCTGGTGCTGCGGGTTGGTACCGGCCAGGAGAGGGTGAGCTGAGCAGGAGGGAGGCGGCTGTGCTGGCGGCCGAGGAGGGACGCGGCGGTGCCCGTCGGAGATGCTTTGTGCCCGGCAGCCAGGTAGCGCGTGCGGAGGTGGAACCAACTCGGTGCTGGGTTTCCTCGCTTTGTCCTTGGGAAGTGGAGGAAGAGGCTGGCCTTGCCACGGAACTGGGATGCTGCGGGAGCTCCTGAAGCTCCTCGTGAAGGCTGCGTGGTTTGGGAGCCCCTGACCTGCCCTGTGCAGCGCCCTGCACCCCAGAAATGTGAGCTCTGGGGTGGGGAGCGCCGGCATAGCTGGAATAGCCCATGATGGCGTTGGCTGATGGATCTGGTTACAGCAGGATGCTGCGGCTGCAAGCTGTGCTGTAAACGAATCCCCAGCCCTCTGTTTAGCTGGAATTACAGTTTCTCCCGAGGAAATATTCTGGAGTCACGTGGGCTCTTCTTCTCGCCCCGCTGCACTGCCTTCACTGGTACCTTGGGAAATGGGAAGGGAGCTGCCGGCAGCAGCGGGGTCCCTGCCTCGGAGGGCGGTGAGCACAGAAGGGCAGCGGTGTCGGGGTGTGCACCAAAGGGCTGAGATGGGGAAGGGGCCCTGGGGCATCTGGAGTCCCTGGGGCATTGGCTGCCTCATCCCTGCATGCCCAGCTTGGGGCTGGATTCCTATGGGTGTCGTGCTGGGGGCTTCTGGAATGGTTTGGGTAAAGACAGGGCTTGTTCTTGCTGCTCCATCCCTACTTTCAGCTTGTGCTACTCCTGGCAAATAAATGATACTGCAAAAGTGGCATCTCCGTCCTGGAGAAACTCCCTGCAGTCAGGGAGGTGATGGGGCAGTGCTGCAGGCAGGTCTCTGTCTTACTGTCCTGAGCCACCCTTGGACCCTGCTGGTTCCTCATCTCTTTCTTGGAATATTCCCTGAAACCTCAGCGAAAGAAAAGAACAGAAAACAGTGACCAAAGTCCAGAGTTTATCCTGGTGCATCTCTTTCTACTTGGGGTAGGTCACGGCGTGCAGGAGGCAGAGGAGCTCCCAGAGAAAGGTGAAGTGTTGCATGGTCTATGCATCCACCTCCCCTCCTTTGGCACCTCCTTTAGGGGGGCATCTGGGGGTCGGTGCCCAAGTGGGGAGGTGCGGTGGGGCGAGTTGTTTCTCCCCGAGAGCCCATCTGCCACTTCTGCGTCCTCATATCTACTTTTAAAATTTTTACTTCATCGTATTTCCCCACTGTTGGAAAGTGCTTATTTGGCTCTGAAGATGCTGGAAGTTCCTCCTCTGGCAGGGCAAAGGCCAGGGACAGAGCTCTCAGTGTTTTACTTCGTACTGCTCAGGCGACGGACAAAACCGCAGCGTTGTGTGTTGTGTTGTGTGTGTGTGTGTGTGTGTGTGTGTGTGTGTGTGTGCGCGCCTGCTGGGGACCTTTGAACCGTCTCCATCTGCTCTGGGGCCCGGTGGCGTTTCGGGAGGTGGTTTCTCTCCACAAACCCCCCTGATGGCATTGTGACAGCAACCCCTGTGTGATGTGGGGCTGCCTCCCCGAAGGGTGGTGCTGCCTGAGAGGGGGATGGCGGGGTTAGCGCTGGGGCAGGTTGGTGCTGTTAAAGAAAACCATAAATAAATGCAAGGTTTATGAGGTTAAAAAGCCTTGGAGTACAAGAGCTGCTGTTTAAAGCGTAGCTTTAGGTGAAAGCAGTACGTGCTGGCTGTTGGAGTTTGCCCTGTGATGGGCACATAATGGAGGGCTTGTAAAGGAGCTGGAAGAGCAAAGGGGAAACCTGTGACCAGCTCTGCCCACGGGCACCACCAGGATCTGTGCTCTGGGGCAGAGCTGGCAGCAGCTGCATCTGCTGGGTGAGGAAAGAGCCCTTCCTGGTGCCAGCACCCTGTGACCACCAAGCAGGATGGATGCTCTGTGGGTTGGGAGTCCTTGTCCCTCTCACTGGGCAGGGGCACTCCCCTGGCACAGCTGGGGTTCCTGCTCTCCTTGGCACAGCGATGCCAACATCTCACCTGGAGGAGGTGGGCTTGGCTGCAGCATCCCTGTGCATCCCTTTGTGGATGCATATCCTTGTGTTCCATCATCTGAGCACAGTCCCACCGGCTGGGTTTTGTTCCCCATAATTTGGGGCAGAGACAACGCTGAGCTCCCCCAGCTCGGCAGCATTTCTTGGGCTGCACAGTCTGCCCTGGTGCTCTGCAGAAAGGCAGGAGGGGATGGAGTTTGTCTTCCAGTGCCAGCAGTGCCACAGGCTGTGCCCACCATGGGGTGACCAGCACGGAGGTGGCCCCCAGGTTTGGTGCAGCGGTGGCTGGTGATCAGCCTCAGGCAGGAGCAGCAGCAGGGCAGGCAAGGAGCCCTCATTAGGTGGCTGGATAGAGCCAGAAGTGCCCTGCGGGGCCTGAATACATTTGCATTGTAAGTCTATTGAAATCTGGTTTGGGTTTGTTGTTTTTTTTCCCTGGAAAGACACTTTGTGCAGCGGGGCTCTTTGTTCCGCCGGTTCCTCCTCCCCTCCTGCCCAGCGATGCCGCCCGTTGGGATCCCAGCGGAGGGCTCTGCTCTGTGTTCTGCTGGATGCTGTCTGCTGGGGCCAACCCTGCAGCAGGGATCAGAGGGAGAGACTTTCCTCTGTGCTCTAGTTCCTTCTCTTAGAGAGGGGAGCCTGGCTTAGCCAGGGCAGCTCACTAAGTGTGCATCCCTCCCAGGAAAATGGCACCTATGCCCTTGGTTCGTGGCATTGCTGAGGTCACCTGGAGCAGGCACCTGGAGCCAGCAGGAGAGAGCACATAGAACTCACCCCATCCCCAACAGACATCTCCAAATAGAAGATCTCCCACTCCAAGTTACTTTTTCAGTGTTTGCTAAGCAGGATAATCGGCATATGTAGATCAGTAGCAGCAGCATTTCTTGGCTCCCTTGGCTGTAGCCTGAGTGGAGCCTGGCCAGCCTAAGCAGAATCCCAGAGGACTCCTGCAGATCTGCCTTGAGATAAAGTCCCAGCTGCAAAGTTCAGGGATTGTTTGAAGATCTAGCAGATAGGGAGACCTTTGTGCTGGGATGGGGCTTTCTGCCATGGAGGGTTTTTGATCCATGGGCGGTTTTTGCTCTAAGGCTACAAACCAACACCTCTTCCTTCTCCTTCGAAGCTCCTGTGGTGGGAAGCAAACCTGGCTGAGCTGCCCTGTGCTCCAGGCAGGCAGGCAGCCTGCTCAGCCATGGCCCAGGTCTGTGAGTGCAGCTTGGGCCCGATGCAGTGCAGACCTCAGGGCTTCCATCCCACAGGGAAGTGATACGGGGGAGAAGTTTAATGCTGGCCTCAGGAGCAGCATGTTCAGGACATCCAGCAGGAAGAACTTGCTGTGCTCCTTGGCGGGGAGGGTGGAAACATTTTCATTTGTTCCTCTCGTCTCTCCCTGCAGCCTCTGGCAAGGGGGTAGCTGCTGCTCTGCACCAGCAAGGGAGAGCCTGGACCTTCTGGAGAGCCTGGCAGAGCAGGCACTGGAGGAGCTGGGACAGCCAGGCTCTTGGCTGGCATCTCCCACTGCAGCCCCGGGCTCTGCAGCCCTGGCTGTGTCCCTGCCATGGCTCCAGGACAGAGGTTTCGCCTCTCCTAATTAAAACACTCTGGCTGCTCTTAACACTTGCATGGTGCTCCCCAACCACCCTCTCCCATTCCAGTCTTCCTCCAGGAAAAGACCGCCCTGTGCCAGTGTTGGGGGTGCAGGTGGCTCTGGAGCTGCTCTCTGGTTGCTGTCAGCCCTGGGTTCCCACCAGCAGCCCCTGCCCAGCCCTGGCCAAGCGCCGAGGCTCCTGCAGCTCCTGTGGCTGTGGCTGGAGGACTCTTGCACAAGAGCCCAGAAATAGCGATGCGTGGGCTGGCGGGCAGGGGCTGGGCAGATGCCAGGCAGACAGCCAGACACCAGGCAGGCTGTGCAGGGCTGGTTGGTGGTGGGGAGAAACTGTGGAGCTGAGGCTTCGGCTCTGCCGCAGGGATGCTCCCAGCTGGAGCTGGGGGTGGTTGACGGGGGTTGAGAACATGGTTGGCAGCATCTCCTCACCCGGGACTGGTCTGTATCACTGCGGGGAGATGGGTGCCAGGGTGATGGGTGCCAGGGTGTGAGTGGGTGCTCCCTCCAGCTCTCCTGGGGAGAGGAGGAAGGTTCAGCTGCTTTGCAGGTTTTGAGGTTTTGTTGTTTTTGCAAAGGTGAAAAAAGCACGAGAACCAAAGTAAAAATAAAGCCCAGTGGTTTGGTGGGGCTGTTTTGTGTGGGCTGTGAAAGGGCACCTGCCTGGGTTGGTGTGTGCTGCCATCGGGTGCAGCACATGGTGGCCCTGGGTCTGTGAGGCACTTGCTGGCCTGGTCCTCCTGGCCATGGCTCTGCCAGGAGCTGCTCTGTGCTATCAGGCCAAGGGTGGCCAGTTGGCAGAGGGCTCCATGGGGTCTGACAGCTCTTTCAAGTGCTCAGCTCATGCCCTCTGTTGGATAAAGAGGAAGATGTGCAAAGGGGGCATGGTGGTGTAGAGAGGCTGGTGCCATGGGCAGGAGTGTCCAGGAGGTGTGTCTGGCTGGGAAAAGCATGTGGAAGAAACCCTGCATGTATGCAGGGAGCCATGCATGGAAAACCAGCTTCCTGCTGCCCCCGTGGCCCTGCAGCCACTGCACCCGGGGGGGGAGCAGCTGCACCCTGTGCTGGTGCTGCTGCAGGGGCTCCCCAGGGCACGAAGGGAGCGCGGTTTCCTGCTGTGAACAGGGTTAGTGAACAGGGTTATGTGCTCTGCTGAACCACTGCTGCCTTCCTGGCAGGGCCTCTTGCTGCGAGGGGCTGGGGGGGCTGCAGTGGCGTAGGGTTTGCTGTGGAATATGGAGAGGACTCTCAGTTGGAACCTTTAAGGGATGGAGTGAGGACATGCTGAGCTGGAGCCAAGGCAGGAGTGAATGGGGGAGTTGGTGGGAGATGGACAGCAGCAAAGACTGTCACGTTGTGGCCACCCTTGGGCACTACCCATGGTAACAGCTTGGGGGCAAGGGGAGTGTTGACTCCCCAGAATAGATGGGAGTGGGTCAGGCAAGGGGTGGGAAATGGCAGCTGTAGGGCTGCACCCTGTGCCACTGACTCAGCACCCGGTGACTCAAAGCCTGTGGGTGCAGTGGGCTGTGGATGTGGGTCCTTGCCACACCGGGGCTGGATGCAGCCCCTGCCAGGGACAGCAGTGGCTCCTTATCCTGGATGCCAGGTGCCAATGGTTCCATGTGCTCCAGCCATGCTGAATCACAGCATTGGCATTGCTGCACTCCCCCAAAATGCTGCATCTATGGACACCCCTGGGATTGGGGATCAGGTGGTGGCAGTGCCTTGACAGGGTCCTCTCAGGTCTCCCAGCTGGTTGCCGATGCCACCCACATCCTGGCACTTCATGCTCCAATGGCTCTACCTTGCCCTTGTGCCCGACAGAGCATTATCCCTCCTGCCCAGTTCCCATCTGGCCCCAGTGCCTGGTCCAGGCCCTTCCCTTCACACTGAGCCCACAGGCAGGATGGGGCCGAGGGCACTGGCAGGGGATGCTGCCCAGTCCTCCGGGACGGGGCAGCGGTGCCGGCACAGGCTGAACCAGGGCAGTCTCTGCACTTGAACGCTTGGCTGGCGCCCTGACATATTGGGGTTGATGACTCTGGCACTTTGTATTTCCTTTGGCTACATGCGGCTGGGGAGGGCGGTTTAACCCCTGCCTGCCCACGTCCCGCTCTGCCGACCCCGGCTGAACGGGGCAGGGCTGCTCCCAGCTCCTGGAGGCCCTGGTTCCCAGAACCAGGGGGAGCGGGACCAGGAGGAGCCTGTGTCCTTCGGCCTTTGTGGCTTGAGGGGCTGGGGAGGCTTTTCTGGGAAGTGGGCACAGTATCCCCGGGTTATAGGAAGAAGATGAGACCGTGGTAGAAGGGGTGATGGAGCCAGCTCCCCCTTCCCCCCATTCTCCTTGGGGTGGCCCGGGGAGCAGCCGCATAGGCCGCTGTGCCACCAACATCCTCTCCTCCTCCTCCTCCTCCTGCGCGGTCCCTCAGACCCTGCGGCAAGGTCCGGCG